GACAGCTGGTTAACGGAAAAACTAATTTTTTATATTATTCAGAAACTTGCTGATAAAAAACTAAATGTTGAATATGGTACTATCAAAATAAAATTTTTGGAATACATAATGCACCTTTATGAAACAAATAATAAATAAGTGTTTCTAACTAAAAATAACAAAAATCGTCGACTTCGTAAATTTGATGTAGAAATATTACAGGAGATCGCAAAATCACTATAAATTTTGGTAAATACACTATTCGATAAGGATTCAAAAAATATATAATGAAATCTTTTTGAAAAAAAAATGTATAATGTTAAAATGTAGTATTATGTATACTTGGTAGTAGTCCAGAATATAAAGTAAAATATGTGTCATCACTGTCTAAACGACGAACGTTTATCTTATTTTTGGCAAATTAGTCCAGCTGATATCTATATGAACTCTGAGGATACACTACAAAAACACACTTTTGTCTATTTTCCACTATATTTCTTTATTGTTGAAATATAGTGGAAAATAGACAAAAGTGTGTTTTTGTAGTGTATCCTCAGTGAACATGAATTTCCACAAAATAAACAAGTCGTCAATCGAAGAAGTGTATGAACTCTGTTTAGAAGATTTATGGTTTCAATTATTATTCAACAAGTGTTTTATCAAAGCATTATCCAATACCTATATACTTATAACATTTATCTAGTTATGTATACCGATCTCTGTACTGAAAAATGAAATATTTCAGCAGAATTGGAGTTTTGAAAATATCTGGTGATTCATTATAAAAGTTCAATTAACTATAAAAAAGAGAGTTATTGAAACTATTCGAAACGTGGCTTTGATGTTCTCGATAGATTACCGAGGCGTGTGGAATGTTTACTAGAAATGTACATTCCTAGGAAGTTATATAAAGAAAAATATATGAATGAATTATGTCAAAATATTCCTCATAGTTAGTTTTTTCTAAAAGGTTTCTTTACTATTTCAAACGGTAGTTAATTCATACAGTTAGTATTGTAAATAACAAGTAGATTGCTTTGGAAGAGTCCGTGTTTATGGCTAATACTGATATTGTGGATCCTTGCAAGGTGATTTATTCAATTAGTTATACGAACATGGAAAAGGGTCTTGATAGTAGAATCAAAAAGACAAAGACTATATATTACATCACAATAAAATGCTTGGGACAAAACTAAGCCTTTATTGATTTCTAAGCATCTGAATAGATTGGGTGTACCATTCTATTTCGAATTTAAAAAGACGTTATGATGGCTTAACTCCCATGTCTCTGCCAAAAAATACTTTGCGAATGTCAAAAAGGTCTCCTCATTCAATAAAATACTTCTGTTTTTAATCCTTATGGAAAAAGTTCTTCTTGTTTGACCAATACAAAGTTCGAGACAAGAACCGCATGTCAACTTATATATACTCCCAAAATATCTGACACTAAAGTTTTGTCTTTATCGTCCATAATGCATTCGGTGAAAGTATCATTATGCTGTGAACAATAATATGGCTTTCGAAGCACATCCCTAACTTTCCGATTTCACGCAATAGACCTTTAGTTACTTTGAACCATGAAACAGGTATCAACGTTTGTTGCATGCAAATATCATCGAATCACTCCAGAATTGTCAGTATTATATGAATTCGACCAAATAAAGTTAATGTTTGAATAATAGATACTTTTCTTCAAAGAAGATTATTGATAAGATAATTAGTAATAGTTTTTTGCTACTTGGGAGCCATCTGACTTGTTCATTTCTTCCTAGTCTACGAAAGCCTGATGGAAATATTTTCCTGGAAGTTAATTTGGGTTGTCCATAAATCATCTGCTTCCTGTGATTCAGTACCCCACAATTTGCCACCCTGACTCAAAAGATACTCAGTGGCAATATATTCAAACCATTTCGAATATTATCTTCTTGGATGAATTCACTCCCTTTCAAATCCCATGATCTTTCTCCTTTATACCCAGGATTTTTTTATAATAGTTATATAAAACTTTCACGCGACCTAGTAAGAACCATAAAAGCCCCTTATTTTGTTGTACGTTGGTTTGTACTGATCTCATAGCAACTCAGAGGAGTCGCTCGAAGAGTTCTGTTTGTACTTGTAGTCCATATTTTTCCACAGACAAGGGGAAAAAAATAGGGCACATATTGTGGGTGTGGATTGCAAAACACCACTGAATTGAATCTCTTTGCAGCTGCCTCCCACAACAGGCAAGAAATACCACGAACTTATTCAGTCTGCAGGCGGTTATCGATGGAAACTAAGCAATTGAAACACAATAGTGAACTAGATCCTTCTGGTCGGTAGCTAAAGCTATGAATCAAAACTCTACAACCATCCATATAAGCGGATGGTTCAATTGCAATAACAGCTATAGAACAGGCAAATCTACTAACTGAACAATTTGCGTCCCACTCCACAGTCGATTTTCTGAAAGGCACTACCCGCTATTCCAACAGTAGAATCAACATTGCCGAAAATTATTTTTCGACAACGTCTAGTCAGGGGAATTTTGAAACAGCCTAATAACAACAAGGCGTCTGGTCCTGATGAGGTGCCCGTCATCGTACTTGTAAAGTGCGCCAATGAACTCGTACCGGTATTTTGCAGACTTTTCAACCTGTCTTACAAGGAAGAGTTTTTTTCTTCTTGTTGAAAGATTGCTCGCGTTCAGCCCATTCCCAAAAAAGGCAAGAAAAATCTTCCAAACAACTATAGACCAGTCACTTTGCTCTCGGTGATAGAAAATCATCACATCCTTCAATATTTGGAAGGCTTCAATATCTTGAGCTATCATCAATATGGCTTTCGGAAACAAAGATCAAGAGGCGACTTTCTATCGTATGTCACCCATATTTGGAATAACGCAATCAAGAAATATGGAGAGTCAAGAGCTGTTGCGCTCGAAATTTCTAAGGCTGCACCTATATTGAAGCCGTATTTCTCCCGACCCGATGTGGGAAGACCATCGGACGCCCCGCGATCCGATACAGTCCGTTGTAACTGCCTACTCTGGACTCGGTTCGACCCGATAGGTTATCTAACAGTTAAAGTTGTGTTTTGGAAGTAGTTATGAATGACTCTGAAGATGATTTTTTGTGGTGGCTTGAACAAGTAAAGAATGTTCTCCTTAATAGGAGATGTAGAAAAAACGTATGGGTGCATCAGTTTAATGAAGATAAATCGAAAGGGGAATTTTTTAAAACTTCCCTACTTATAAGAAACTACCCGGATGAATTTAAGGACTACCATCGTATGACTATGGAAACGTTCAACTATATTCTTGAAGGCATAAAACACGACATAACTGGCCAGTCTAACTTCAGAGCATGCATCAGCCCTTTTACCAGTAATTGGTCCTAATAACCTCCCATAGTTAAGGCTTAATATCACTATTATGGTAATCATTGTTTCGCTGGTCCCACAAGTGAGGCTCATCTCTCACATGAATTATCAAAAACTCTTTATCAATTTTATTATTCATTATTATACCACTCCGTCAGAATGAAAGATCGGACTAAAAACAAACACTTTTGATTTGACTACTCTTCGATCAGTAATCGGTAGTGATCGTTTATCGTCGTATCGGACTACCCTTTCCAATGAAGGCACCTACTTTAAAACTTAAGTGTTTGTTTTTTTTCGATGTCGTCCGATGGTCGTCCTACATCGGGTTGGGAGAAATACGCATTCAATATAGGTGCAGCTTAAGGCTTTTGACCGTGTGTGGCATGATAGTTTGCTGATACTATGGCTTGTCGGATCATTTTTGTGTATGACTCTCTTTAGAATACTTTTACCATAAACGTGTTTCCCAGGTGGATCCCTTGTGTTCCCCAGGGATCCATATTGTCTCTAACCCTCTTTTTATTGTATATCAACGACTTATTGGAATTCCAATATATTTCTTTCCTGACGACAACACACTTGTCCCGTCATTCCATTTGGATCATGACAACGGCTGCAGATGCACATCTTCACCGGCAGCAGGAGGTTGCATATCTCAATGAGAATCTTGAGGTGATTTCGAATTGGGATGAGAGTAACCAGGTTCAATTTAATGCCACGAAAACACAGGCACCGGTTCTCTCCAAAAAGATAAATGTCTCCGAACCGGATATAATAATGTCAGGACAGACCATTTCGCTTCCTGCTTCGATAAGTTTGTTGGTGGTTAAAATGGACACCAATATGTCGTGGCATAATCATGTCGCTGGAATTGCAAAGGCTCCTTCTCAAAAGCTTGAAACACTGTTCCGAACCAGAAAACTGTACACATCTCAGAAACTTTTGATGCTTCATAAAGCTCCGCCCCTAAGCATACCCTGAAGCTGATGGATTCCTTACAGAAAAGAGCCCGATTGGAGACTCGAACATCATTTGTAACCTCGTTAGTCTGGAACATCGAAAAAAGGTTGGAGATTTGTCTCTCTTTCAAAATACTTTCACGGAAGGTGTTCAAGTAACTTGGCACATTCGATTCCACCAAGAGCGGTACATAGCAGAAATACGCGACGGACTGTGGCTGCTCATGGTTTTGGGGTTCAACTCAGTACACCTCAAACTTCACTGCTTGAAAACTGTTATTCAGAAAATTGCATGTATGTGGAATAAACTTCCTGAGGACATTTTTCCAAATAAAGTCAATTTCCAGCGATTCAAGTCCAACGTGAATCGCTAATTTCGCACAGACCCCGCTCTTAATAGTGCTGTGTTCCTGTAGTGCTTGTGTTCTGTCTTTAGAAAAATAAATCATTGTAACAATTACAAACATTCATATGCGTTTTGATATAACTTCATTTTTGTAAAGACGTTATTGTATTTCTGGATGTAAATTCAATACGAAAAACGGTTTATATTCTAGTCATTTCATTAAAATGATATTCAGTATTGACATGTAATATTTACTAACAGAAGGTTTTTGAAAACAAAACTAATATTTTTCATGCATTGTAGTTTCAGTATTTAACATTATTATTAATAAAATATGTTTTTCTTTTTTTCAGCAAAGGCAAAAATGCAGGCTGACGATATAAAAGCAGTCATGTGCAAACAGACGGAAATATCGACAAGCCAAATGACTTTCAAAAGCGATGAAGATTTAAGTTTTTCCAAATGTGAGGAAGAACCTGAGATAGATGAAACAAAGTATGTATCTCCACTAAATAATCGGTGCTATATCTTCTCAGTTCTTAGTAACATATGACAGATAGGTGGTGTCAAAGATTATTGAATTGAAGCATTCAATAACTTCCACATTAAAAATTTTTCAAGAAGAGTTTTGGTTTTTGAATTTTTGCCCAATAATATTGAATGAAACGACTTCTATTTTGTTTTCTTGCAGTTATTGTACAAAGGATCCTATCAAGTTTGATGAAATCAATTTGGATGATGATATTGAGAAAATAGAAGAAACCAGTCACGAATCCTCAGAAGAAATGGGTGAACTGGATCTTCCTGAGAAAATTACACGGAATACAGAACCACCTCTCTTTAGTGGCATTCCTACTCAAAATCCCAGCGAATCAATCAAAAGTTGGCTGCAGAGGATTACAGATATGCAGAATGAGATATTACAAAAAAAGTATACACCAGGGAACAGTCAACTACATAGTCATCCAGTTAGTACATGAATCATTACTATAGTAACCTTGTTGAATAGAAACGGGAGATAGTGTGCGTCATATCAGATTTCTGACTTCATCTAACGGTTTACGACATTTCGCATCTTCAATAATTTTTCAATAAATTCAAATCTAAGGACCTTCTATATATCTCTAATATTTTATTGAATATGCTACGAATAAAAAAACTACAGTGATGCTTCGAGACCCGAAAGCTTTCGACCTACATTGTCTAATTTTTTTTAATCTGTAATGTTTCTATATATTGTGAAATTATGTAAAATCATTGTTCTTTTGGGAATTATCATCCCTCAACTTGATTAGGTTTATTCAGCTGTTCAATACAAAGATTGGTGATGAAAAAATGCGTACGAGGGCGGTCTGAAAGTTTCCGACTTCAACATAAAGATAGCAGCACTAGTAAATAAAAGCTAGTGAATATAGTTGTTCATCTGTTGACAGTTAGTCACCAAATTTCAGACATTTTGGATGCGTAGTTGTTATGTAACAGTCGTTTGAGTGATGTGAATGTTTTTAGAAAATGGACGCTGGCGAGTATCGAGCTATCGTTGAATATTTGTTTTTGGAAGACAATATGCCTATGCAAATCAAAGATGAGTTGGATTCTGTGTATGGGGGCTCTGCACCATCATTTACTACATTGAAATATTGGGCAGCTGAATTTAAACGTGGCCGTAAGCGCTTAGAAGACGATGAACATTCGGGACGTCAAAAAACATCGCCAATGTTCATCAAATGGTGCTAGACGATTTCACCAAGACCACGCACTATCTCACACCTAACAGGCTGCCATGGCGAAAATTCACGAAATACGGTTTGAATTGCTTGACTATTCGCCTCACTCATCAGATCTACCACCAAGCGACTTCTTTTTGTTCCCTCATATGAAAATTGCACTCGTGAACAATTATTTTGCAAGGAAAACCGCCGAGAACCATTTGGACGTCTTACAGTCATGGGAGCATCGCTGGAAGAAGTGTGAAGAGTTGAAAGAAGACTATGTTGAAAAATAAGATTCTGCCTTAAAAAACCTTTGATCGTGTTGACGCTAAGTCTATTCATAATAAACTTTGACTAAGAAGCCATGGTTTATGTTCCTCAAAAAAACAATTTGACAAATGAAAGAAACAAAATCAGTTCCAGTGAAATACTGACATTGAAAAGGAAAATGCATTAGAATGCAGCATGAAAAGGAAAATTCATACAGGCTCATCATCATTACAACTGCCTCTTTCGTCTCTTCTCACAGTGTGATAATAATAAATTTGTATGGACATCGAATTTTTGATATACCTGACGGTTAGGTTGGGTTAGGTTTATTGTGGCATGGGTTTATTGTGGCTCACACCCATTCACACTCGACCGAATAAACCCAGTTTCTTAACGAAGCCGATTAGTTTATATGATGAGTGGTCTTTCAGGTCAGATGGTAAAAGTACGGCTCTGCCGAACTCTAAAAACCTGATTCGGTCCCCAGTGGGGCAGACACAAAGTATATGCTCGGCTGTGTCCCAAACACAGGCAACACACACTGTGTTCCGACAGTCCGAGTCTTTGCATATGATGATTCAAATGACAGGGACCTCTGAGAAGGCCTGTTAGACATCGTAGTTCATCCCTACTATAGTCTAACAACTGTTTGGTGTCAAGCTTCGAAGGGTAAATGAATGCCTTGGAGTAGAGTAATACTGGAATATTCTGCCATAAGTCCATAAATCTTCCTGCCATCCAGGTGTTCAATTTTTATTTGGCAAAGCCTAAAGCGATGCCACTAACAGGTTCTGGTCTAATGAAGCTGCTTGCAGCACCCTCCTCTGCAAGAGAGTCAGCAGCCTCATTTTATTCCAGGCCTGTAATGCCAGGAATGTAGACCAGAGACATTTTGTTAAGTCTTCCTATTGAGGAGAATCGTTATTGCCAATTTGCTACCAATTTAGACGTTGCTCGGTAGGAGCCAAGAGTTTCCAACGCCACTGTCCCAGAATAGTTTTATTGTATATATGAGGTTGGATTCTTCCAATCTCTCCGCACACAATTCAATAGCGTAAATTTCCGCTTGGAATACAGTCGCATAGGTTCCTAGGCAGGTAGATATCTCTGTACTGGGTCTGCGACTGAAAACACCTGTACCAGAACCTGACGATGTATTTGATTCATCTGTGAACCAACAACTATCTGCTCTTAATATTTCCTTCTCCTGGAGGATCCAGTTCTCTCAGTAATAATTCTCTCAGTTTGTAGTTGACAGTTGGGGGCATACAGTTAGAGGTCATTTCCAGAATACTTTGACTTTCAGTGTGAATCAACAGTACAACAGTGTGAGTCAACAGCACTCTGAATTAAATTGATTTGTGCAATTGGCAATGTGCACAAGTCTATATGCAGTCCATCTAGCCTCTCTCTCTAGAACAATGTGGAGAAGAGGTAGATCTAGATGGAATACCATACAAAAGTCAGATATTTCAAAAGAAATGGCCATATTGAATCCGGAAGAGTTCCTTTCCATTCAAGCTGTCAGCAGGTGTGACTCCAGGTGTAGTATGTTTGGGGACAAAATAACATAAAGTTGTTGACTACGATAAAAAATATAGACATCCAACGAAAGCTGTCGCTTTTCTAGGCGACCATATCCACATAATTCAATAGGCGTAAGAAGGCATTATTGTTTCTTTGTATAATGACAACCAACTACAACCAGCTACAGATCAGCCGGAGTCTTCGAAGAGGAAGAAATTTCAATGAAAATAATGATGAGTGATTCAATAATTTTAGTGAGGAGATCACAATAATATTCCTCAATTTATCATTATTTTTGAAACAGATGAGGAGAAAGAGAAGTCATCTGTAAGTGGGAAACGGTTACATGCTGAGCAAATTGACTTCTTGGAACAAATGTCCTACAGTCGGTTTTGCACCCAAGATTATATGTTGAACAATGTTATTGATTGTGCTGACATCCTGAATGAAAGAGAATATTGATGTCACATAAAATACCTAATTATTTAGATTTTTATTGCATTTTATCAAAACTTTCATTGATCAAAAATCATCAGGAGAATCCGAGGCAGTCGATTTCGCGTCGCTTACAGGAACATGGCTTTTAGCAGACCACAACTTGGCGAATTTTGCTTCGTGACTTCGGCCTGCACCCGTAGAAAATTCAACTGAACCGGGAAATGAAGGTAAGCGACCATAGACAACGACGTGTGCTCGTTGAGTGGCCTCTGAAACAGTTGGCAACTGACCCTAATTCTCATCAAAAATTATCTTCAGCGATGAGGCACATTTCTGGATGAATGGGTACGTCAAGAAACAAAATTGACGAATTTGGGACACGGGATCCAAGAGCGTCCAATGCATCTCGAAAAAGTCACTGTTTGGTGTGGATTTTGGGCTGGCGGCGTCATCGGTTCACATTTCTTTGACAACGACGTTGGCCAGGCCAGCAACGGCGAGCACTATACTCGTAGGTCGATGGTTACCAACTTCTTTCGGCCTGAATTGAATGATCTGGAGACCAACGACATGTGGTTTCAACAAGACAACGCTACGTGTCACACAGCTCATGCTCCATTGGATATTCTGTACTTACGATTTATGCGGCAGAGTCACGGAAAATTAGACGTTTCGGATGCGCCTCACCTAGGGAAGTTGTGGCGGACTTTTGAACGATGTTGTATTCCGAATATGATGGTATCACTAGGTCTTTCAAACGAATGAAAAACTTCGATGATATCCCACTCACCCTTTGTTTTATTAAAATCAAAGATAGAAATCGCTATGTGAAAGACCCTATATTATGTCAACCATATACTGAAGAGATGTTAGTTATGTGTATACATGAAGGAAAAACATTTAAAGTTTCATTAGATATTGATAGAAAGTAACTAATCGCTATTTTCCAAAGGAAAATAGTGTAGAAAACTATCGAGTAGTGCATTGGAAATTGCACTACTCGATAGATACTAAAGTGAAATTTCACAGTAAATACGTTGTAGAAGTTTATTTTATTTTATTTTATTCGGAATCTGAATTTGTTTGAAGGTGCTTTTCAATGTATTTGAATTTTCAATTATTTACACTTCCATAAATATATCAAATACCTACGATTTCTCTTCATTCTTCCAGTTGGCGAGCAGACTACCTGTTTCGACTTTAACAAATCTTACACCAGCTGCCCCAACAAATCCTAACAGGGTTGTTAATTATCAAGACCTTCCTTACATGGGAGAAATGACGCTGGATAATTCAAAACCCAGAAGAGGAAGGAAACCGAAGAAAGCCGATATTTGTCATCTTATTTATAAAAACTATGGAACTATATTTCCTGGCACTCCAAATCCAGGAAGTTATTTGGAAAAAGACACAAACGTTTTGAAAAAAACAGTGGGCATTAATGATATTAACGATAATGTTAATAGAAGTGACGTGCAGCACAAAATTATTTCTAGCCTACTCGAAAGAAGACTGACTCAAGAAAATAACAGGATGAAAGAACCAAGGAAAATCACAGCAAAAGTACGAATTTGGACTTTTTTTCATAATTGTAGCTATTATTAAATTTCAAATCATTTGTCATAACAATTATTGTATTATAAAATCAAAGTAATACAACATTAACTAACAGAGTCCTTAAATGCAATACATTAAAATTTTTTTCAGATTAAAAAAGACCAAAACGAACCGTTGAATTTGTGCATCCGAGATTTGAACCATCTGAAGATAAGACTGTTGAAAAGAAACGATAACACGTATACTTCTGAAATAAAATTAGAACCTCAATCGGATGATGACATAGAAGTTGTCCAGGAATCACCAAGTCCATCTATCAGCTCGAAAACGGAACCAGGATTTCCTTCTGCATCACCAGAAACTTTCTCAACTCCTAGTCCAGATCCTCTGAAGACTGCCGATGGAACTACTGGTCCTGGTGGATATGTTTACTGGCCGAATGCTGGAGTATTCATCCATCCAGTGGCGTTGCAGCAGCAGTTGATGATGTACCAAAAAATGACAGGAGGGAGTAACTACATAGTACCGAATAACCAAACTTTCAAGCCTCCTCCCGAGGAAAGCGCTGGTTGTTCGAAAATAGGACAGAGCTCTACGGAGCTGAGAAAATTGATGCCGAAAGTAGTTAAACCAAAAAGCACCAACAGTAAAGGTAAGACCAAACAATATTACAGAGATTGTTCACGTTACGAGTATTACAATTAGAATATGCTTTGAAAAAATACAACTCCTCGATAAATGAAAGCTTCTTTGGTTGGAGATAGCTGTGCCAAAACTGCATATACCAGCTACATATACCAGCTACATTACCATATACCAGCTACATTGTTCGGAGTTTAAGTGGCAGATTTTATTCATCAGTGGTGGGTCTGTCTTCGTTTGCTTGGGTTGTGAAGCCTGATTGTTGTATTTCAAAGCATGTATCCCCTGTCCCTTTTTGTTGAATTTGTCCGTGTGTATATGAATAAGAATTGTATGAGATGACTCCACGGAAAAAATCTAATAGATTGAAACCCAGAGATCTTTGTGGCCTTTCCATAGAAGTACATTTTTTACCAATCCTTTAGCTAGGAAAGACTTGGTCAAGATAGCCTCTAACAACAACGACATAATTGAGTGGTGCAACATCCTGATAACATGAATTTTAATTTCATGGGGCAGGATTACTAGAAAATTATTTTATCAAGGAAAAGTATGAAATAATTCTTTAGAAAATGAAGGCATCTTGAATCATTTACGGTTTCTTTGATACAGTATGATATAATTTAATTTTCTGAGGTTAGGGGTAGTATGTATGATATTCTAAAATTCTATCGAGTTACTGGTCCTCTCAGTTTATAGATAACTACATCGGAAAAAGCAATATTTCTTGATAGTGAAGTAAAGTAAAGGGTGAGCATTGCATCAACGTTTCGCAGAATTTCATCACTTACTGCGGGATAATTTTTGAGTATTTCTGGACGTTCTTGGACCAGAAATAACTGGCAGAGGTGCCATTTCTCAAATTTGAAGTGAATGGTATATTTGATTTCGGTTAACTGTTCTGCGGCTGTTTTGTAGATTCTCTTATATGTCTAACGAAACGGTCATTTTGACTTTATCGTTTATTGTGGAATGTCCAACAGTACCAGTTTCTCAAAATTTTCCTTCGATTTTGCTAACTACTAATTGATTGGACCAAACTACCCATTTTTCTCATAGAACAAAGGAATTTTTCAGGGATTTCTACAAAAAATATTTTCCTTTTTTTTGAAGAAGAACAAAATGAAACAGTTGGCAAACATTCTCTTACAAAATCTGGATACCATAAAGTTGACCAAATTTATAATTTTCAGGAAACACTGAAGAGACTGACTGCCAACCAGTGTCTGGCCAAGAAATCAAGAAAAGAAACGCTTCATCGGCGGACCATCACAAAACGCCGACGAAAAGAAAAAGATCAGCAATTTTCATTCCACCCATACCTACAGAAAATAATACCAATCCCGCTACTGAAGTTAGTATTTGCAAATTCAAGTTTACTGGAGGAGCCAAACCGACTCTACAGGAGAAGAAAATGCTTTCAGTTGATTCCGGAGGCAATTTTAGGTGAGTGTAACATTGAAATTGATTTTTTATTATTTCTTTCTCAAATACTTTCACTCTTAAGTTACAATAAATCACTGAGATATTATTTTATTCTGATGAGTGAATTGGTTTATCCTTTCTCTCCTCTAGTACCTGATAGAAACAATTGCTGGATTGAAACCATCTTACAAAACATTAGAAATTCATTGGTCAAGTATAATAATGATAATAATATCAATAATGCCGTTCCAATTTTACTCTACTCGTTTGGAGTAGTGGAGTGGACTCGGGAGGAGCTGTATCAACTCGACGTGAAGACCCGAAAAATGATGCATTTCTATAGGAGTTTGCATCCCAAATCGTCTGTTCCACGGTTGTACTTCCTTTGACAACAGGGAGGCCGTGTACTTTTGAGTTTGCAGTGTCTACATGACAGAATGGTACTGGATACGGCCTGTAAAGTCGTCAGGAATTTGGATCCCCTTCTCTGCATGTTCCTGCTCTCTCATGGTGACCATGAGAGAGCAGGAATTCGGTATAGTTTTCGACACTGAACGAGGTGACCACAACTCTGTCACCGAGTTGGAACCCGTTCAGCAAAAAGCTCAGATGAAAGCCGCAGAGATCACCTTACTTCTGCGGAGACACAAGGATAAGCCAATGCATGGGGTCTTCTTTAATAATATTGGAGACCTTGGCTTATCAAAGCGCTCGACGTTCGCTTTTCTCAGGTCGAGTGGGCTAAAGTCGGAAACTGAGGGGTTCATCATGGCTTGCCTGGCTGGTGTCTACAACACTTTAGTCTACCGCAGTCGCCTGATGGTTATAGAGGTTCCTGACACAAGGAGCAGGGCCTGCCGCGAGGCGCCCGAGACCCTAATGCACTTGCTATCAGCATTTCCAGCATATGCGATCTCGGTCTATATCCGTCGACATAACGCGGTCCTTAGAGTGCTATATTACCGTCTACGGCACTCGTATGGTATTGACGAGACACCGGTGTTGCCCTACGCTCTGAGGGCTATTGAAACCGTTGTGAGGAACGAGAATTGCCGAATTTATTAGAACTATTCGTTCCCCACCCTCAGGCTCATGCAAGCTAATAAGCCTGATATAGTCCTTCTCGACCACCAGAGCAAGACGATATTTGTCGTGGAGTTTTCAGCTCCTGGCGAGATGAATATCGTCCGAAAAGAGGAGGAGAAACATATAAAATATCGAGATTTTCGCTTCAAACTCCGCATACTCTATCCAGACTACTCTGTCAAGATGGTTGTTCTGATTATTGGAGTCCTTGGTGGAATGATGTCCTCTCTACTCTCGAATCTTAAAATCATACTGGCCTGCCGCACTGAGGCAGACATCTTAGCCGTACAGATGCAGAAAGCTGTCATTCTTGGCTCACTGCGCTTGCTCAGGGCACATAATTCTCGGACCCATTGATCACTTGCCCTAGGGTGTGGTAAGTAGTCGATGGTTGATAATGCTGACGCGTCCTCTTGAATCTGTTTAAAATCTGTTTTTCCGTTAACCAGCTGTCGCACCCCTACGAACAACAACCCTCAAAAGTCGAAACTTGTGCGAGCTAAGGATTAACGAGGTCTTACCTTTTAACGTGTGATTCCTAACACGGGAATGTATCGGGGCTTTGAGAGATAGGGCCCAACCAGCGAATACTTTGGCAAAAAAATAAAAAAAAAGAAATGTTTTTATTGAGAAGAAAGTACATGAGATACTAACCTAACCTAATAAATGGCGAATTCAACAGAAATCACGGCAGATATTGCTCTTCCAACCAACTAGCCTAGAATACATTAAACAATTTTCAGTTTCATTTATTCTTTCCTTATTGATTGTCTGAATACCTAGACGGCTAAATTTTGTTGTATAATGATCAATACGACTATTGGTTTCGAAAATAGAGGCAATCTGGGTCTGGTGTATCTGACGTTATCACAAAATTTCAAATCAATTTAGACTCAAATAAGAAATGAATATTGCTATGGATCCGCCGAATTAAACTCTTCGACGAAGTTTCGAATCAATTTACACTACAATAAGAAATTATGAATACACCCGTTACTTGATTGAAATGCACTATTCATCATGATAATTACACAATTTTCATGATTAATTTTATTTAAGACACGTTTCGCTATACAGTTACTTCATCAGTTACACTTGTACGTGTACTTGTTCAACTAACTGATGTTATACATTTCTGTATCAATTATTTACATCATTGAGAATAACTATTGTAAAATTAACAATGAATGAATTTGTATTGTATTGCATCGTATTGTGTAATTAAGGATTGCACATATTTCATAATGAATAAATTTGTATTGCATTGTATTGTATTGTGATACATCCGTATGTTTGAATTTGTGGAGTGAACACTACCTTTTGATATTGCAGGTACTACAGCGGTACGGGTGACAAGTCCATGCGAGGCTATGAGTTCTTTCCAAGGGAAACGTTGCAACAACAGATAAACAATAGTCAGGGATCTTCAACGGGGGCCTTTCTCAAAGCAAGCGGTGAAAAAATCTACCCCACACCTCCAGTAGACTTCACGGGATCAAAAACCAGTAGTTCAGACTTTCTGCTCAGTCCTGAACTACCGGCAGCGACCTTTTCCACACAGTCATCATCGAGTCAAGACCAATCTCATAGACTCAAAAAGCGAAAGTCGAGAAAGAGTTTACAGAGAGAGAAGTTGGAACAGACATTCAAAGAGAAGGGGTTTCTGATACAAACCCAACAAACGGAAAGTGCAGAAGGTGCGACATATTGTAAGTTCAGGCAACTGAGAAAGTTCACAAGGTACTTATTCAGATCGTGGAAAGACTATTTACCGGGTAACATCGCGGAGGGCGAGCAACCCAGATGCCTTGAAAATGGTGATCTGAGTCTGGGTGAATTAGATAGAGACAATGCCGACAATTCATCGATCAACTCAAGTGAGTTATCAACCACACAAGCACAGTGAAACTTCTTTTACTTCCAGATTGTTACGAACGATCTGACGTTATTGAAAATATTTCTACCAAAGATTTAACTAGTTAGGTTACGAATACAGGGTGTCTCAAAGTTTTGAATTCAGTTTCTTCATACAGTTTGTTAATGAGATGGCGATCATCATTTGAAAATATCTGATGGAACAAAAATGTAGCTAACTTATGTAGCTGGTAGTCATGATCGAAAACGCAATTTGTAATTTTTTTAAATTTTTTCGCTTTAGAGCTTGTGAGAAAATTATTGTACATAATAGTAGATATATATGAGACCAGTAGGTATTGGAGGCAGTGAAATTATAGTCGTCCATTATAGTCACCTATTTCTTCAACTGATCACTAATGAAGTTACCCAATTGAAATGATTTGTTGTGTACAATGAGATGAGTTTGAAGAAATTGATAGGCATTGAAACCACTGGACCCTGTACATATAACTCCAGACGTACAAATTAAAACTGATTGAGGAAATATCTGAAATAATTCCTATACATTTACTGTTTTAAATTTGGATTTATGTTGATTTAAAGACAAACAATTTTCTATAATTTTTCAATCGTTCATCACATTATATCGAATTTCTAAATTTTTGTGAAGTCGAATTATGATATAATGTCAAAGATGATATAACATATTGGGTTTTCCATTTAAAAAAATATCAATTCGACTGTATGATGGCCGATACCTGAACACGCCGATTTTCACATTGTTACATTGAAGTGTTATTCAACTACAATATATATTTGGTCTTCCATTATTTTTGACTCCATCATGTTGATTATTTTCCATTTATGATTCTGAAACGCTATTTTAACTGTAACGAAACTTTGGGCCACCGTGTACCATGATAAGGTGGAATAACTTCCCGAAACATTCGTCTTGAACAAGGTGCTAACTTTGATTACAGAATTTTATTTTTATTACAAGAATAAACTTAATCTAGTCCATACCATGTTATATTGAGTACTGTGTACTATACATGTTTGTTGTTGAATAAATTATTATTAATTTTTTATATTTAAGTTTTATCAACAGATCAATATACATAAATAATTCACCTATATTGCTGTTCAGTAATTATTTCTAGCGAAAAAAAACTAAGGAAGGATCTCAAGAGGTAAGTAAAACTTTGTTTCAGCTTGAAAATATTCCAACATACATGTGTCTCTTAATTGTCTAAGATCAACTATCTAGAGGCCCACTATTCTAGACTTATATCAGCGACAATGCTGCTTATTATCCACCGTAACATATTTCTTCCAGCCGAACAGAAAGTATCCCATTCCTCCTCCAAAAACGATTGCTAAGCAGAGGTAGGTATTGTATGACATGAAAATCAACATTAGGAAGTATGATAAGACTATCTGTATCATGTGAAGAAACACCTGGAGAAAATGCATCATAATCATTATTGGCCTGAAAAAAAAATTCATTAGAAGTTACTTTGTATAACAGTGTACATAAATATCATTTAATATAAACAGTTTAATGATACGAATAAAAACACTTCTGTCTAATTAACACTAGTTAACCACTAGTGTAACTAGTGGTAATTAGACAAAAGTGTTTTTAATCGTTTCATTAAAGTGATCATGAATTACCGCAAAATAAATAAGCCATCAATCACACATATTTGATATAAAACCAGATTCTCAGGAACAGAAAAGAAAATATTCTTCTCAATCATTTGGTTGAGAATAGTAATGAGGAAAGTTTTGAAGAACTCATGAGTATTTAAAATAACTTTTCAGTTCGTAGTTTCATGTAATGTCGTTTTTGAAAAAAGATGAATTCTTCAAATGATTAAAAAACAAAGGGGTTTTGTTGAATGTTTCTGAAACTAATGACTCAATCATTCGGTCAATAATAATAATAAACTCATCATATTCAATACTTCACTAATGGTGGGTTTTGATTGATTTCAATATTGTACTTGGTTCACGGAAAATGTTGAAATGAAATTACAGAATCTAAACCGGGTGCTTCGAATAGGCAATGAGATTTTGGAAACCATTGAAGAGATAGTTGAGTTTAGATAAGAGAGTTCCAAATCTCTGGAGATATCTGAGAAAAACTAAAATTTTGAATTTTAATTTGCAAGCTTCACTATATCCTTTCAGACCCATTATCCGACGTTTCGTTCTTTGGTCACCATTATCAACTAGATTTTTCCTTAAGAGCGCCATATTGAATTTTGACAGTTTTTAAAAGTATGTTTTTACCTTTCCAATAAGGCATCACAATAATTCACCCCTGTACTCACAAAATTTGAAGATATTGATATCTCCTGCAGAATTTTAGAAAGAACATTGTTTGATAACTTGAGGATATCGAAGAATCTCAAGTGTGTGCTGTTCTTCACATACTTTACTCCTACTCGAATAAATTTCAGATGAATACTCTGAACAAATACCGAAATCAAATGAATTTAACAGTATTGTCCTTTACAAATTGGTAGATGTGCAGAAGATAAGTTGGGTGTCTAACTCATTTCAAATACATAAATTGCCTGGACAGATGTCATCTATCCAGTAATGCTGCAAAAAGAAATGGAGTTTCAACTTCAAAGTAATCAGAGCAAAAAGGGATCTGTGATAGATATCTAAAATATGAAGACTGATCAAAGTCACCTCCTTAAGGATTCAGAAAGTGAGTAATAAATCATTTTAACGATGTTGGATTTCAAACGAATCACATGTTAGTTAAACTTTGAATTATTATCATTGAACATGGCAATCAATTTTGATCTGGAAATTACAATTGGAATAGTTTCTACAGCTGGCATATGGCATCGATAGAAAACAAATTTGGTTTTAGATGAATTTAGGCTCAAGAGTTCTTGATTGCACTTTCAATACCTTCCAATAATTGTCGACTATAGAAGCAGGCCATGAAAAAATATTTAGTCAAAGTACCTTGGATGTTGATATAGGTCGTTGATGTATACTGAGTATATAATTCAGCAGCGGCTCATTAGAGGAAGCAAGGGAGGCTTAGCCTCCCCATAAAATTTGAGACTATCCATCGCAATAAATTGAAAGATATTGACAAATAATTAAGATTATTTTTTTCTAAAAATGATTGGGTACCACCATTAATTTTTAATATAAATACATAATATGTCCGAAAAAACACTAACACTCACTACGTAGTACGTACCACACTGTATCCTGCATCAACAAAACTCAAACTCACCGCCCATGAACGAATAACGAATAAATCATTAATCCGAAATAATAAATGCCGTACATTGCAACGGAGTCAAGCCTTCGACCGCTTTAAAAAACACAGGCTCCACAAGACCGATCCAACAAGCGACATACGTCCCGATTTGTGATTTCAGTTGCAGAAATTATAGCGTCAGAGGAGGCTAGCCTCTAGTTGGTCTTCGTTAGTGTATGACTGCGTTTGTTTTTTTATTTTATTATTCGGACGGGATGCCATGACGGACCGGGACTGGAAAATATTTCGGTAAATCGTTTTAGTGTTTCTTGATAATATTTGTTATTTGTGTATAAAACAGGCAGTATTACATTATAGCAGTGCTTTTTGAAAATATTTTTAATGTGTTTTCAAAGTGTTTTCTTTCAATTTCAAGGTGTTTTCAGGTTCTAACGCTTCGGTAAGTTTTTTTTTCATTTATTATGGATAAGTTGGACGAAATTAAAAAATCTGACGATATAGTCGATTGGTTGCTGACAGATAATTTCAAGTCTTTATCTTATGATAATAAATTTTATATTATTGAAACTCTGGGAAGGCCTCAACCAAATCTGATTTCAATCAAATCGTCAGATAATCGACAAAATCGAGGATTTAATATTAGTTGGTACGATAAATGCGATTGGTTAACCGGCTTCATTAAACGAGAAAAACTTTTTTGTTGGCCCTGTGGTTCATTTTTCGTACAAACCGAATACCAAACGTGGTCTAAAATAGAATACTCCGATTTAAAAAATTTACCTCTTGTTATGGGGCAAATATGATTCACAATTTGGCACTTTTTCAAACGGTAGCGTTTTTTTTGGCACCTCAAAAACCATCCAAAATGAGCTTATAGACAGTATGGCATATATTAAGGAAAATATAAGCAAGGAGATTGAAAGTGTTTCTTCATTTGCATGGAAAATTGATGAAACTACCGATATTACCTGTACATCACTACTTTCAATCGTTTTTAGATATGTCAAAGATGGTAATGTGGTAGAACGTTTTATGGGTATTCATGATGTTTCATCTGGGCGCACAGCTGACGATTTGTTTGATTTTTTAATTCGTACGTGTGACACCTATAGTTTTAGGCAAAAGTTAATTGCGCAAACCTATCATGGGGCTGCAGGGCTAAAATAAAGTCAATTCCTCATGCACTTTTTACGCATTGTCATGCCCATGCCCTAACTTCAGTATTAAGCAAAGTGTGCAACAACATGATATAACTGTGGGTCCAAGATCAGACCTTGTAGGACGCTGCAAACGAGTTTTCCTTCATTTGGTAGTGAACTGGTTTTAACAATCTAGGTGATATCAGAGACTTGTTCTAGTTACTTATACTATAGATTTACTAAGTTTCCGTAAAAATTCTTATGATTTACGTGCTCAAATGTTTTAGCTAAGTCACAGAAAACAGCTGCCACTATTTCTTTGTAATGTATATCAGTATAAACATTGAGAAATGAAAATATGGCATGGTTTATAAAAGTTTTATTCATAGCAATATTTGCTGGAACCTATTTTTATTGAGGCCAGAATGACAATATATACAGAATACAAAGGAGTATGAATATGATGTTGGAGTATGAATATGTTGTTACAGTGAAAATATGTAAAAACTACAAATGTTATGATATCTGAATGAATTATTACATCTCCTGGATCATAATGGATATAAAAACCGAAGCTTTGCAGAGGACTTCTCTAGACCAGGCCAAATATAGTTACCTAGAGAAGGTATGCATTCAGCAGACCCCGAACGAAATACATTTGAGCGAAAAAAAGACCTTACCATAGGTTCATAGCAGTCAAGATAGAGGAACTAGGAATATACATTGCATTTCTTCAATGTGCCGCCCCCCCTTTTATTTTTTGAACGGGTCAACTCAAAGAATTGAAATTTGGGATATTCAAATTAATGCATGAATACTTTATTTTGAAGTGGAATTGACAGATGAAACTTTCAAGATGGCGACTGGGCGCCATCTGGAAGAAAATTTAAATGGAAAGGAGGATCTTGTGCCACATCATTTTGAAGCTCCTGATGAATACTGCACAACCCCAGAATATGAAGTAAATATCTTCACCTACTACAAAATGACGGAACATTTAATAAGTTCCTGAAGACAAACACATTCATATCGATATTTCTAGAAATATTCCTTTTTATCTACCATATGGCAATCAACAACCCGAGAAGGTTTGTTAAGTTATGTTTTGTTTATAAAAACGACAAAAACTGTCAGTACGACAATGATCATCATTGTTCAGTTAGAATATTCTCAGTTAGTTTTCGGTTTTACTAGTAGGAAGGTACCACGTCAACAATCTCTAAAATGGTCAATTCTCGTCCATTGGAAGGAAAAATTGAAGCGATTTTTATTTACGGTGCGATGCGTAACTTTCACGAGACCGAAAGGATTTTCAATGAACGTTTTCCGAATCGTCCCATCTGTAGAAAATATTTGTCCAGGTCATCCGTCCATTCCGGAAGAACAGCAATTGCAAATAATTGGTGAGATAGTAGTAAATCCTGAACAGTCTACTCATTCCGTCGCGAATGTTTGTGAGGTGTTTCCTACTGTGTGGAGACTTTTGAAGAGGAATAGGTATCATCCATACAAAATTAAAATGGTTCACCAATTAACTGATCGAAGAACAGAATTGTGCGAAATCATGACGAAAACCATTGCAAGGCATGCTACCTATCCCCACAATATTTGTTTTAGTGGCGAATGTACATTTTTTCAAATGGCAATGTTCACAGACAAAATTGCCGTTATTGTAGTGACACCAACCCTCACGTTTTCCGGGAATATTGGGAAGCCATATTGCAGGACCTCTATTTATTGATCAAAATTTAACAAGGGACCTGTATTTGAATATGCTGCAAACTACTATAGACCCTCTCATCACTGAAATCGTCGAAGCGAATCCTAATGAATTTGATAAGGATATTGTATTTCAACAAGATGGAGCACCACCACATTACTCCAGACAAGTAAGACACTATTTGAATACTACTTTTTCCGATCATTGGATTGGCCGTCGAGGTCCTACAGAATGGCCAGCCCACTCGCCAGATTTGACACTTATGGACTTTTTGCATGGGGCTATTTGAAGCAAAAGGTGTATAAACTGAACCTGCTTCAATATTAGATATACGGCAGATAATAATAAATATTTGTAGAGACATTGATGTGACAGGGTTCGAAAATGTTCGGCGTGAAATATCGGATAGGCTGTTAATATGCCAAGAAGTTCAAGGCAACCATTTCGAGCACCTTCTGATCTGACCTCAAGCTTATTACCTCATTTTATGTAGTTAAATGTCAATGTATTCAGGCAGTTATTAGTAGTAGTTGAAGATATTGGCATTATATTCTAGGCTTGTGGAGCATTTGTCAGGAGCTTCAAAAGCTGTGCCACAAGACCCCCCTATCCATTTAATAGAATGTGGATGGATCATCAGAATAGAAACAAACGCCTATCCAAGGGAGTATGTTCAAAAATAATAATTAATATATTCAGGTATATTAACTTCCAATGATACTTCAGAAAACACTTTGGAAGGTTATGATTTTAGGTAAAACTTTAGTAAGATACCTTTAAATTTGATTTTGCTTCCAAGACCCAAGTCGAAGAATATTTTTCACTTTTGAAATATTTCGAACTTACTTTTATTATATGGAGAGAGTGTATGAATATAATTAATGAAATTTGATAGTTATTCAGCTCAAACATTGCCGGGATAAGCTGTGATATGAAGAATTTTGAATCAGAATAATGTATTCCTTCTTAGAATGGTCATTCATTCATTCTGATCATTCAATGAATCGCAATGTGAACATTGGTTTGATCGCAAGTTAGGAATTGCTTGCAAAAATTTCGACTTTCGAAGTTTGTCCTGCATAAGAGGCAGATAGCTGATTAGTGGAAAAACATATTTAAAATTTTTGGAGAAGAAAGGTTTTGACTTCTACTTCTCCATCTTTGTACAAATCCTCCAAAGAAAAAAAGAAGCAATCAATTTCCAAATACTAACTCTAGGCAATGTATAGATTAGGCAAATAAGTAACTGTTTCAGACACTAACTGGAAGATGAATTCCTTTCGAAATAGCTACTTTCAAATGAACACTAATTGAACACAAATTGAATCAGATATCATGCACAGGATTGCAACAGAGTATATCAAATGAAAGAGGTGAAATTTCAATTACGTGGAACATTGTCATGCTCACTAATGGACATAAAACATTTGCATTTTTGCCTGCTCAGCACCAATCTGGATAACATCAATAGATGAAGCCCTCAATTCATTTATAACATTCAACTGCTTGTCACGAATGAGTTGAATCTACTATACTCATGTCATCGATATCAGTACGTAATGACATTAATTTGCTCATTTGATTAAATCCCAGCCATAGGAATCTTGGTTAAATTTGAATATTTTAAATACATTTGGAAAATCACTATATTGTTGTTACTTGATTTTTGGTATCTACTTGAACGTAATAAAAAACATCATATTTACCTAACGGCTTGCGATCCGTTCGTAGTGTTTGCTGCACCGGAAGAAGCAGCAGATCCATGCTGTAATGGGGTTTTTGTTCTCGAAAAAATATATTCCCTGTAAACATAATCATTGAAAGCCTTTCTGCGACTTCCTCTATCATTTTGTCAAATTGATGAAAATTGAGTTATGCTCATAAACTGAAAAATGATATCGATTGTATCGTACTGCTCACCTAAGGTATTTCAGTCCTTCATACAAAGCAGCCATCAAAAAAATTCCTATCATTGAACCAATTAGTCCGCCAACAGAATCGAATTTCCAGCCTTTGAATAACACGGCGGGAGCCTCTTCGGAGAAGAAAAACTAAAAAACGACTCAGTCATTGCCATTTTTGGTTTTGAAAGTTTAGGTAATAACATTCAAAAATATTGAAAAAGAAACATGTTCATTATAAATTATGTATTTCCAGACCTATCTATCAGAAAATAAACATCATTTGAGAAAAGTGCTTCCTGCCTTTAACACGTTCAGCGCCAAGGTACTACATCAGATTCCACGATTTTTCATTATTTTTTATTGTTACTTTATTTGGAGCTCTGGTGTTATTCTGAGTATGGAAAAATCATTTTCGAAATTTTCCTTTCATTCTTTCGTACGTTTTGGAATGTGTATCATTTTCGATACACGTGGCCCTTGAAATAGTTTTCAATCGTTACGTAATTCGAAGAAGATACACATCAATTTATTTCATCATTTCATGTTTTTCTCTTTCTTTTCAGATTGGCGAGCAGAATAAACAAGAAAAAGAAGAGAAAAAAATTGAATTCGAAAATTCATTGTATTGAATTGGGGAAAAACAAGAATTTTGTTTTTCCTGAATTCTGTTTCTTTGTTTCAGATTACTTATTGAATATAGTTTGTGAATATTTCTTGTGTGCAAAATACTAAGTAATCTAAAATAAAGAACATGGACTTTGATAGTGACGACTCCATTCACGATCCGGATTTTGATCCTGTCAATGAAGATTATGATAATGGAGGTACATCAAGTGACAGTGAAAGTGGCGGGGAACCTTGGAATCCACCACCTAAACAAAGACGAACATCTATATTTTCTGAGGATAGACTGAGAGAATCACATGACACTCCACTATTATCATCGATTTCGAAGCCTGATGGTGAAATACCAAGTACGTCAGGTATCACTTCTTCTGGAGTAACTGAATCTGCATGGCTAAACCAAAAATTGAACGATATAGAATGGGAAATGCCTACTCATGAAGATCCGCCCACTATTGAGTATACCGCGCCATTCACGGGAATGAAAGATATTTATTCTGGAATCCTAGCCCAGGCGAATCCTATTGACTATTTCGATTTATTCTTGACACATGATATTTTGGTACTCATTACAGATCAAACCAATTTGTATGCTACTCAACAGCTTATGATGAACGACACTCCAGTTCAGTCAAGAACTCACTCGTGGATTCCAGTAACTATGAATGAAATCACTCAATTCATAGCCCTAATTGGTTGGATGGGTTTAGTAAAATTACCAGCGATAAGAGATTACTGGCGAGTGCACAAACTTTACGGTATTCCATTAGCACGAACTGTAATGGCTAGGAATCGATTCGAGTTGATTTTGAAGTTTCTACACTTTTCTGATAATACCACTACTGATCCCAGTGACAGACTATGTAAAGTCAGAGAATTGTTGAATAACTTCGTTGAAAATTATAAAAAATCTTATACACCTGGTAAAGACATTTGCGTAGACGAATCTTTGATACCTTGGCGAGGAAGATTGATATTCCGGCAGTATATACCTAATAAAGCTGCCAAATATGGTATCAAAATCTACAAGCTTTGCACTGATAAGGGGTATACCTGGAATCTAATAGTTTATTGTGGTAAATCTAGAACACCAGAATGTGAGGTTTCTGAGAAAACCGTGATGTCTCTGGCAGAGGGTCTTTTGGACGAAGGCAGAACAATGTATACGGATAACTTTTACACAAGCATACCGCTTGCATATCGTTTGAGACGAAGGAAGACTCATCTAGTGGGTACGCTCAGGGCAAACAGAAAATATTTGCCAAATAATATTATGGGAGGTAAACTGAAAAGAGGCGAAATGTCTGCAAGTCAAACAAAGGATGGTGGTATTGTTGTCCTAAAATGGCGAGATAAGCGCGATGTGAGAATGCTTTCAACTAAAACGTCAGCCCTCAGAACTGTGACCAGCACAACTAGAACAAATACACCCATAATGAAACCAATATGTATTACAGAATACAATAGCGGCAAATCATCCATTGACCTCAGCGACCAAATGGCAACGTATGGATCAGCTTTGCGTCGCTGCACTAAATGGTATCGTAAGCTCGCTATTGAGATCATATGGGGAACTAGTTTAGTAAATGCCCATTTTTTGTACAATGAAACAACTACTAATAAAAAATTGACTATAACAGAATTCAGAGAGCAAGTGATCACAGGAATGCTCGAACGATGTACTACGACGGAAGCTGAATCCAAGAAAACGAAGGGGAAACACTATCTTATAAATAATGAAGTGGAGGGGAAGAATGTACGTGGACGATGTGCGGAATGCTACAGAAAATATGGCAGAAAGGGGAAAGAGATTGACGGAAAACTTGTTATAGCCTCGCAAGTTATAACAAAATGTTCTGTTTGCGGAACATTTTTGTGTCGTAAATGTTTCAATAATACTCACTAATGTTTATTCACCATGCTGTTCAGTTTCATAAGTTTTTTCATTACAATTTTTCAGAGAATACATTGTTTTATTCTACCACCATATAATTTTTATGATATTTCAAAATATAAACATCCATATCCCAACCCAGGCATACACAAACTTCCGTGTAGGCCAAAACTTCATTTTCGTCCTATTAAACACACGGCAAGTGTGCGAGTTGACGACACACAACGCATTGAACGAGATGAACGTCGTGTATCTTTTTCGATACACATTGGATAGGACAGTGTGTATCGAAAAAGATACACATGGCGTTGAACGTGTTAATGTCGATAGTACTTATTCAAAGTGATAACGTCATGAAGCCGGCTAAAAACCTGCGGAAATTGTGAGTTCCAGAATAAAAGGGAAAAGAGGACGGTGAAGAGGAAGAGGAATGAATTAGTGTTTTTTTTGCCTAGGTGCTCAATTTCTCTTACGACGAGGCTGCTGTCTCTAGACCAGATATGTATCATGCACCAAATTCTAAGTGGAAAGAGGACTGTGCAGCTTGCCTACTTTTAGTAACTGTTTGAAATCTGTCTGTTTAAAATCTATTTTTCCGATAATCAGCTGTCGCCCCCATACGAACGACAACTCTCAGAAGTTGAGAAACTTGTGGGAGCTAAGGACTAACGAGGTCTTTCCTTTCAACGTGTGAATCCTAACACGGTTGCAGAATCATCCCAGCTTCAACCAGATGAATTCTCTCGAGAAAAATATCTGATGGTCGAGGCAGGAATCGAACCCACGGCCTTTTCATCGTGAGTCGGGCGCACTACCACCACGGCTAAATAATTGATGTATGAACGTAAACACTCTGATTTTCATGTCGAATGCTACCTATATTTTGAGTTCTATCTATGTTCTTCAATCTGTGTTACTTTTTGTGTGATGTAATGCAATTTTTCCTGCGAGCTTTCGTCTAGGTGGCAGAAGTTCCATTGCCCCTAATTATATAATGATTGAAGTGATTTCAAAAAGTGAAAGTGAAGAAATAATAGAAATAATTGGAGTTTTTTCTTGAAAATTAATTATGTAGTAGGACTAGTAAGAGTAAATTGCCTGGCAATCAGTTGTTTTCACACTTAGGACAGTGAATCAGGTTATTTTCAATTCTATGGATGTGCTGTTTTTCAATTCCTTCATCCATATTTGTTCAGAGCATAATCACCCGTCACATACAATTTTCGGTACTAGAAATTTCGTACATTTTGCTGAAACAGGATATGCCATTTGACGTTGAATTTCTGGCCTACTGCGCCGAAGGGAAGCAAAGACCATAAAAAAAGAGGAGAAGAAGAAGGCGTTGAATTCTCAAGAGCTCAGCTTGCCTGATTTCTTTCATAAATTATCGTCTTTACTTTGAGGACTGTGGAAAAGGTTTGGGATTCTCAGTTGAGTATCAAACTTTTTACAATAATGTGCACAACCTTCCTAGGAATGACAGTTTCAAATAAATAGATACGATGTTGGTGATATAAGGAGATCAAACATCAACCGTTTTCAAACGAAAGTGTCATACGGTACTGTTTCACGTGTCCTTCATTTTTTGTACCTTGAATAAGACCCTTGTGAAACAGCCAATATTACTTGACTCAATTTGAGTTTCCGTGCCCTTCACAAATAGCATGCTGTGGTATACACGATATCATTCTATCCTAGATATCAAGAGCCAAGGCCCCACACCATCACGATCCTACGTGGCATTGCTCAGGAATTTTTGGAATACATCAACGGTGATCCAGATTCGCTTGAAAAGGTCATAACTGGTGACGAATCATGGATATATAGGTACAACATCGAAACCAAAGTCCCAATGGATGAGCTCAGGAGAACCAAGACCAACATAAGCACGCCAAGTTCGATCAAATTACAAGGTTTTGTTCACTGTTTTCTTCGATAACAATGGCATAGTGCATCAGGAGTTCCTGCCGTACGGTAAAGAAGGAGTATTATCTTGAATTTCACTAGTTCGGACTCCCATTGTCTATAAAATGATTTGAAATCCCTGAAACAAGTAAAAAAGAATAATTAAAAAGAATAGTTGAAAATAACAATTATATTAAGCAACAATAAACCTGAAATGAAATGATAGTAAAATAACCTACAAGTAAAAATATAATAATTGAATAAATAAAAATTAAAGGAATGCAAAAAAAAAATAATAAAAATAAAAAGTGTAGAGATTCCAAGTCACGTTAGTTCACGACGTTTCGATTGTTGGTATCTACAATCGTCTTCGGGTGATGACTGCATTCCTTTAATTTTTATTTATTCAATTATTATATTTTTACTTGTAGGTTATTTTACTATCATTTCATTTCAGGTTTATTGTTGCTTAATATAATTGTTATTTTCAACTATTCTTTTTTAATTATTCTTTTTTACTTGTTTCAGGGATTTCAAATCATTTTATAGACAATGGGAGTCCGAACTAGTGAAATTCATCACGAAACATTGTCAATCTCTATTATCTTGAAGTTACGCGCCGCTTGCTAGAAGCAATACGAAGACAACGTCCAGTATTGTGAAAAAACAAATCATGGCTTTTGCAACAAGATAATGCACTTGCTAACTCGTTATTGCATGCTCGTGTTTTTTTAGCCATAACACCATAATCATTCCTCATTGCAGTCACCGTATTCACCGTAGTCACCAGATTTGGCCCCACGCGACTTTTTTCTGTTCAAAAGAGTGAAGAGAACTACGAGAGGACGGTGCGGTGTTTTGCGACTATTGAGAAGATAGAAACCGAATCGCTGAAAGAGCTCAAGATATATTAAAAAGTGCATATCAAAACTGCTCCGAGTATTTGGGGAAAAAACGCTGGCTTATATTATATCTGAGAGGGACTACTTTGAAGGGCACAAAATAGAAATTAATGAATAAATAAATATTTTTTGAGAAACATGAAAATTCACCTCATTGTTTGAACCTACAGCTTATATAACCCATGCTTGAAAAAATCTGAGTAGGAGTTGAAATTCAAATATTTCTATGCTAAACCACGATTTGGGTGAGAACATTCATTTCATTTTGACTAGTAATTCAACTTATACCAGGGGAGCCCATGATGCAAAATGTGGATTTACTCGAGCGTCATTGAGACATATTAGGTCGCATAGCTTAGATGATAAGAAGAAAAAATGTTATATAATATATACCTTTTCATCGGTGGCGGCTATAGATTTTTGAATATAAAAAAATACTGTTGCATGGACATAATCGAGCGCGTCAGATATTGATATCATCAATGTCCTACGTATTTTAATAATGTTGGTATGTTAATCAGATCGTTTGCATGATGTGGGTGGTTGTAATCGAGCGCGTCAAATTTTCTAAGGGGGTGTTAAGTGCAACAAAAAAAAGGTCTCATCCATTTCGATCTGACGCAAACTCGCGGCCATTATTATAATGTACAAAAAAAATTCGCCATTTTGAAATACTCAAGCACGTCAGATTAAGGTATATATGATTCATATTTATGTTTTAGACGTGCTGTCTCATAATCTGACGAATATCTAGAGGGATTCGCTCAATTTGACAAAAACAATATTTTTTTAAAATTTTGTTTTCAATTCATTGAACATAATTAATTGAAAAGCTCAGGAAATAGCATGCAAATAAATAAGAGTATGTTTTATAAGTGGAATACTTGTATTTATAAGTAAATAATTTTAAAAAATGCTCAAAAAAATAAAATTTTTCATAATCAATTGATTAATTATTGGAGAAAAGAGAAATGAAACTTTCTATGTTTTTTACCACTTTTATTTGTATCTAACGTTACTGCAGTTTCGTCCTATAAGGACATTTTCGAACTTATATATTGTATAAGTTTGAAAACCGGGTATAAGGTATCCTCCTATATATTAATCTGCCACGCTTTAGTAAATCCCGAAATCCCCGCTTGGGCTCCCCTATTATTACCACTTATTTGCGATCGGTAAATCGAAAATTACGGTACCTGATGCCGTGATGTGTCGCTTAGCAACATATCTGAAAATGAAAGTCCAAATAAAGACGTACTGTCACATTCAAGACCTTTGACAACAAAAACCATTATCATATCGGCGACAAACATATTCCTTCAAATAAAACATGGAATAACAATCAATCAATCAATCCAAAAACAAATATTGATAGATTATATAAATATCATAATCATAAACCAAGTTCTGCTAGTTTATTGTTGTTGTAGATATACCGACTGCAATTAAACATGAAATTATTGGAAGATCCACATCAATTCTCTTTCAAAGCCGGTAAATAATGAATTTTAAGTAAACTAACATCCGTTGTTTGAACATACAAATATATAACTCCTGACTAAATTTGATTCAATCAAAGCAAAGTAAAGATGTGAAAATCAAAGTGTAGAAATCAATAAGAAGAATCTCAAATGTAATTTCAAGGGTTGATATTCAACTTGTAAATGGTTTTGTTAGAGAAAATCAACATGGGAGAATCCAGACATAGCTGAGGATATTGCAAAGAAGGTCCTTCACACTTGGTGGTTAGCTAGAATTATATTGTGTAGTTAACAAAATCTGCACCTATAGGAATCTCTATCTCGATCTCTATCTTCTATGAAGAGGTGACAACCGTATAGTACCTTTGCGGTGATTTAGTTTAGTGTTTAGATTACTGTAAGAATTTCTTTTATAATAACATATATCAAAAACACTATTGCTGAAATGTATACTTGGTTATAAATAAATAATTTAATGTGACTTCTGATGTAACTTGGTAAGTTACCAGAATTTCTAATATTTTGTCAACTTGTGTACTTACACACATAGGCATCATCATATCCTTACAGCTCATATGACCCATATTGAGCCTCGCATGGGGGCTGTGGTTCATGGTGCTTGGTTGGTACATGTGCTGAGTGTATTCCATCTTACTGCAAAAAATACTCTTGATGATAATATAGAATAAAATTGACACCAAGTGTCTGAGTTCTGTTAATGTTCAACTATATATAGTTGCAATTTCAGATATATTCCCGACAATTCCCACCACTGTCAACAATAACTGGCGTCACTACATTTTCTTGTCCATAAGATGGTCATGTTCCCTTTGAGTAAAGAAAGATATGATATCTAGAACAAAATAACGGGTATTCTTCACACGTAGTTGATAATTGGGAAGAAAAAATTGAGATAGTGCCTCCGTAGGTCGTCGACTTTTCAGAAAGTTGAAGACTTAAAATTCATAGGTCTCTCATACGAACCAGAATGCACCAACGGATTGGTTCAATTTTTTCAAAAATTGAATATAAAAGTGGCTTTCAAAACTGCATGTACACTTGAACAAGTGTTGGGAAGTCTGAAAGACAATACAACAAGGAAGTAACAGTCTGGGATTTACGAATTAAGCTGTGAGGATGCCGATTAGAAATATGTTGGTCGAACTAAGACGACTATAATAACTTGCTACAAGGAATATGTTCCACATATTCGATTGAATTGAGCAGTAACTCCAGTGTTGCTCAACATGACATATATAATGGCCACAGAATAAGCAGAGAATGCTTGAAATTGTTGAGACCGGTACATGACAACACATTCTTATATACCTTTGGAAGTTTACAAATGAAAAAATGTATAATAAGACAGTGATTCGGGTCCCATTCCTAATAGCACTACTTATTCGCCAAACCTGTTCATTCAGCTGCAGTTTCATAATAATGTATCATCTTTCCCTCCGACCGATTTCCTGGAGTCTTTGAAGTCCACTAGATACTCGTTAGGACAAGAGGACTGTTACGAAATTTTGGGGTTCTTGTTGAATACTCTTCGTGAGCAAAACAATAGCAGAATCAATACTCCTGACCGCTCTGGATTGAATGATTCCGTACAGTCTATCTCGTCTTGTGTTTGTAGATCTTTTTCTGGAAAAATCCTCACTTGTTTACTCTGTAGTAAACGTTCAATAAGTAGCAAAAACGAATGTAAATTTATGAAACTTCAACTAGCGTTTCCTAATATGACTAATAACCAGTTGGTGCAAAGCTCATTGTTGAATTATCTGAAAATGGAAATTTCAACAGGTGATTGTGATTGTGACTGTATTGTCAAACATGCACCAAACTAACCAACAAAGAAAACAAGTTTAGCTGACACACCAGTCAATCTAATAATAACACTGATGATCTTCAAACATGAATCCAGCTCTGACGTAAGCACTAAACTCTTACGAAGGTTCGAAATAGATGAATACTTAAATCTAGCAAACCACTATTATAACATTCATGCAGTCATTGTTCACTGTGGTTCTGGCGTTGAATTTGGTTATTATTACGCCTTGGTCAAAGACGAAACGGACTGATTTGAGTTTGACGATAGTCGTGTCACGAAGTGTTCTGGCGATGTACTGAATTTATTGGAACCTCTGGAGACACCCTACATTTTGTTTCATGAGAGAGGGTACATTGGTAGATCAAGATCTTCAGATGATGTGGTGCTGCAGGTTTTTCCGGGTTTTCCTGCAGCTGAAAAAGCAAATGCGTCACTGGAATCAATGAAGTCGTTCCGGAGCACCAATTAATTTGTATTGTTGTTTTATAATTTAATGTTCAATTAAAAGTTATATTTATTATGACAGGTGGAAAAAAGTAGATTAGGTATCAGTCAATAACAATAGGCAAAAATAAAACGCTAAGACTTAGGTGAATGACCCTCATAATGTAAGTTATTCATTAGTGTAGATCCATATAAAAACATTAACGTAGCTTGTAAGTCTTAGTCATTTCCAGGTGATGGTACTTTGTTTAGCGGAACCGCGTCGAAAGACAGCTTTTTGTTCTGGCGAAGAAGAGGTGTTTTAAATATATCAAAATCATGTTCCTTCTATCGTTTCAGGTGGCTTCTTTCAGATTTGTATAAGGTCATTTAATCATCTCACTCCTTTCTTTAATTTTTTTTTCACGATAGTGTCTGAGGATTTATGAAACTCTGAATAAAAAATTATCAACAGTAGCATCACTCTAATTGAATTGAAACAATTGTGTTCACTCGATATTCTTAATACAATGAGAATGATTTTCCTAGTTACATCTGTTGCAAACATTGCAATATCCCCTCGGAAATTCTGATCCCAGCGGAAATTCTGATTTAGATACATCAATACAAAATGCATTCTCCTGTTTAACTAACAAGTTGTAATTTGCAGTTACCGATATTGATAATTTGATTACAATCCTCATGAGCATTTATTTAAGGAAATTTAGAAAGTATGGATGATTGTTATCCATATATTTGTTTTGTATTCAGTTAATGTGAAAAAAAAAGTTTTCTTATAATATATGGTTTTTTTGAGATATTCCAAGAAATTCTTGTAATAATCTAAACTCAGTTTAGGTGATAGATAAACAGCAAATGGAGTAACTGTTTGCGATTTTCTCACTTTTATTTCAACCCAGAGCATGTCGTGAATCTATACCTAAATATAAAATAACTTGTGTCCAATAGTATTTTTAAGAGTAGATGAGTGTTAATCGAAGAATGTAAACTTTCACGGCCGGAGATAACTGACTGTATGAAAATGTCTACTGCAGCAGTAGACGAAACGTCAGGTATAAAAATCTGCACACCACGACCAGAAAACCCGGAAAATAGCCTTCATGTATCAGTGTTCCTTATAAACAAATTGGCACCACTAATTCGGCCATGAATGAAGTCATATATTTATATTTTTCGAAGTTTCTATTTACAAAAACGTATTCGAAATTTGGTACATTGTGTACTCAATCTCCTGAAGACGCCAACTTAGTTGGTGAAACACGCGTCAAAAAAAGTGTTGCCTTTTAAGAACAGTATGTGATTTGGAACAACAAGAAGTAGTTCCTCTGCTATATTTTCATATTATTCAAAATAGTTGCTGTAGAATCAACAAACGGAATCCATTATCATTTTTCTCGAACAGAATACTACCTATTCGTTTTCTTTGACTTATAACCGGAATATTTTAAAAATATTTATATTTGTGAAGGATATTCCGAATCGAAATGATATTTTATAAAACGAAATAACCCACAGAAGCATTCAAAAATATTTTCTACTTTGGGTATTTCATTAAATTTCAAAAATTTTGAAAATTAAGTAGAAAAAAGCTGTCGAAATTACGAATTAACCCGAGATTGAACCGAGATCCTCTGGCACACTTGACTATATTCCATTACCACTTCTTCCATGTGTTTGTAAGACAGTGTAACACAAAGCTCTTTGAGTTTCTAATCACTTCCATTCTGTTAATAGGTGACGAACTCAAAAAACATAATATTTTTCTCCAAATCACAAATTTGTAGTAGGATACACTCGTTTTCACTTTCCGAGTCCATATCATGAGGAACAATATACTTAAGAAAAAACTTCCAGTTCAATCTAAGAACATAGCGTTTCACAGCAGGTGTCACGATTGAATAGAATACAATCTAAGCTAGTAGGTCGTGGTCGAATGAAACCTGAGGCAATTAACGTTTTGTCTGCTACTGCGGCAGACATCATTAGTAGTATGTGCATTGACTGACTGCGTACCCCTGATGGGGTCCCTGAGGTTCAGCATGTTCTACTAGTTCAGTTGTTCTTTTTAATTGTCACTTCAATAATCTAATTTGATACCTGAGAACATTATCTGAAGTAAAATATTCTTAAGGCTCGCTTGCGATTGAAAATAGTTGTGAAACAACTATAAAGCCATGATTCGTGATGGAATTGGCCGATAGGTGTTGGAAACCGAGGAAGCTATTATTTAGTGAAACACGTGTTGGGTGTAAACTGGTCATGAAAATGTCATAATGAAGTGTTATTTGAGAATGTGAGGTTATGAACTTGCACATTTGTGATTGGTCTAGAGGTAGTGAGCTACGAATCTGGTCAATTGTAATTAGTTCAAAGATGTGAGTTTTGAATCATTTCGGCTACTTACTCAACAAGAAATGGCACAGTGAAGAAAATAGTGTGCCATAGTTGATAAATCATACCTACATTAATAGTGTATTACCATAAAAAATTAACGTGTTGAGAATGAAAGATTTTGAAAAAAAAGAGGATGTGAATATGTCACTCACCTAAAGTATTCTTATCAACTGTGATGAAATATCTAGAATCAACCAAGTATCAGAAACAATGCTCAGATTTTAAAAATATTTATTGAATGATGTTTCCATTTATCCGATAAAGACCGATAAGAAGATATAAAAATGGAATTGAATTCGTTCAAGTATGAGGATAATAATGATAAAAGGATTGGGTGCTTGGTTTGATTTCGTAGTTGAACTCTGAGTGAACTCAATGCAGCCGATAAAAATGATAAGGAAGTCGTCCGTGCTCTTTTCTATTGTACATTGAACAGTTTCAAAAACCGATTCTAACCGTACCATAACGTTAGACTTTTCTTAGTTTCCTGTTTGTTTCAATGTTTATATGTTTGAAAGTAGTCCTTACGAATTGGATTCTTCTCCTAGTTTATTTCTGAAAGAAACTTCAGTGAATGATTCATACATCTTTGTGAATAGGTTATTGAAGTGAATTATGTACTTTTTCTCTAAATTGAAGGGGCATATTTTTTATTTGACATTAATTTTTGGAAAAGAAAGTTTTTGGCTTTCTAATTCTCCATCTTGATACAAAAAAATGTGAGAATCTTCCAAAGAAGGAAGAAAGCAATAAACTTCGAAAAATTAACTCTAGACAAAGAGGTGTAGATTAGGCAAAGAAGTAACTTTCAGACACGAACTGGAAGAAAAAGCCCTTTCGAAACAGCTATTTTTATATAAACATTGAATTGAACGAAAAAATAAACTTTCGAAACAAATACTATTATATGAACGCTGGATCATACGAAAAACACTTTTTTTATTCAGTTTGTATTTCAAACATTCGTATGGCATCGAATCCACACAATATAATTCATGAAAGAAGTAAAATTTCACTTACTAGTTATTTAGTTATACAAAATCAAAAAGAAATCCTCTTTTGGCAAGGAATATGAATGTTGAGCTATATCCGAATCGTCGTATTCCGAACATCCAAATGTTTAGACGATTAGAAAGACATTTGAGGGACTATGGTACATTTGACAGAAAATGTGTAGTTACTGGAAGTGTGAGGAATCAAATAAATGTTATGGGTAAGCAAATATCACCACATAGAAATATACACAGTGAAATCATTTTTTTTATTCAGGATTGGCCAGTTGCAAAAATTATGCTAATCAAGATTGTTTTTACGAGAAATTGACCACGAAATGGGGATTTCTGTAAAATGCACCAGAACTATTTTTGAAAAGAACAAATATAAATGCTACAGGATACGGGAAGTTCATCACCTCGATGAAGTAATTACGGGAGGAGAGTACGATTTGCGAAGTGGTTAAGACGTATAAATAGGGAAGTTGGAAATATCTGTAAAAAAATAATATGGACGGAAGAATCAAAATTCACCAACAATGGTTGGTTTAACAAAAATATTCATTATAGGTGGAATAATACAAATGAACATTTACATAGGGAAACCAAATTCCAAGAATGTTTCGGAATAAATGTTTGGTTGGGAATTGTGGGAACAAACATCCTTGGCCCTTTTTTTCACGATGATCATTTGAATAGTGAAATGTATCTTCATTTTCTATTCAATGAATTCGACGGCTACTTAGATGAATTACCACTGAATATCCGCCATGAAATACAATATTTTCAACATGACGGCGCTCCTTCCCATAATGCAGCAATAGTAAGGGAACATTCAGGCAATATTTCCAAAAAATGGATTGGAAACAATGGACCAATTAATTGGCCAGCTCGATCCCCAGATGTTACTCCTTTAGATTTTTTCGTCTGGGGATACATAAAAGATAGAGATATCTATCATCTCAAACAGAAAATAAGAGATGAATGTATTAGTATCACACCTATCATGCCAGGAAATTGTCGTTAATTCCAGCATTTAATGTAGATTACCATGTAGCTTTGATTTTCCGTATTGGTTTAATTTTTCCAAAAAAATCATGATAAAATTGTTTGATTGTTGTCACTGATGATGGTTATATAAAATGAAACGCTATAAAAATATCCAATGTGGTATACCCTTGGATTGTAAATTTGTTGGTTTATCAATATCTGTAATAAACAAGACAGGTCCTTATTTGAAAAAAAAAGTTAATGCTGGTCATGTTGACACGAAACGTTTAATCGAATATTTATCATTACATCGTCATAGTACCTTCGAATAAAATAAAATTTTTCTTTTTAATTTTTTGATATTCTTTGAAATAACAATTCCATTCGAAAAAAAACGAAAAATAGCATTTTTAGTTTCCCCGTATAACTCGAAAGGGCAAGAGTCCCCGTAAATTTTCTTCGATCATTGTATTGTTCCTGATGACAGTTATGTTTTTTCCCATTTGATTGTCTTCGTATCTGTTACGGTTCAGAATATAGCAATGTAACACATGTTGAAAGAAACGGCCAGTTGATTCACTATGTCTCAAAAAATGAGAATTTGGAACTAGCAATAATTTTCTTTCCTATCGCCCAGATGTAAGTATTCTGTTAGAAAATACATTTTAAACCTTTCAATAAAAATTTACCAAACAGATTTGTTACTTTTCAAATCTCTATATTGAACAATGAGTTTAAAATAATTGCCGCAATAGTTCTGATTCTCCTGCAGTTGTTTTGTATTCGGATATTGGAGGAAGACAGCGTTGAAAAAAAAACAGGCGTGGACATTCTTTATTTTACAATCAGTAAAAGCTTCAACATACCTACGGTATTGATAAATTCATAAAATTGCACCGAGAGAAATCTAAAAGTTTTGCAATATATTACAATGAATATAATTAAGTTAATATTGATATTCCACTAGAACTGTTCACATTTGCAGTGATATGCAAACAAGTATTTATTAAATCACGAACTTTGTGAGCATAACAACTATAAATTATTTACAATGGATATATGAACACAATAAAATTCAAGTATACGTGAAAATTAAAAAAGTGCTATCACAATTCAAATTAATCACTATATTTGAAGGTGTAACAACGTTGAGTTGATCTCTCGAAAAATCCTTTTTCTAAACTACTGAGCGTCTTCTGATATTCCTCGATGTTTTCGAAACTTTTTCATCATGACGGATTATATTCAACTCATCACTATCGATGAAGAATATAAATTTCATTCCAATCATAATCATGAATGATTTTCTTTCGATTCTATTCATTTCATTTTGAGACAACATGCTATTAGGTTGTTTGAGAGTAATTAATTAAATAGGAAGTTTTTTGTTGTGAATTTTTTCAGGCCATTTTGGTGTTTTTTTATATCAAAGGGTACACTTCTTGGTGGTTCTTTATCCGTTTGTTCTCACTAGGTGCCCATTTATACACAAAAAATAAGAGAATCCTTAAAAAATAGAAGAATGATATTTACTTCAAAATCCTCTACGAATATTGAATTATTATTATTGACCTATTACTTGATGAAAATTATTAACCTGTCCATAATAATGAAACAATTTTTAGACGAATAAATTTACTGAAGATGCGTTTCGCTACGCTTCCTCAGCTGAACTGAGGGAACTTCTGTGTAGCGAAACAAGTTATCAGTAAAATCAATAGTGTGAAAATTATTTCATTATCATGGATAGAATACTGAATAACACAAAAATCATGGCTGGTATCTCAATCGCCACAAAAGAAATAACCAGGAAAGGAATTTCTGGCAAAAACATAACAATCTGCACTGAACGCAGACAAGCTCTATTAGCCTTGAACATACAACTTGTTACCTCAGGGAAAGTACTAGAGTGCCACCAAGATTTAGCCAAAGTCTCGAAAGATAATAACATTATCCTGAAGTGGGTTAAAGGGCACGGCAGGAGTAAAGGTAATCGCATTGCTGACTCTTTAGCCAAGGAAGCGGCTGGACTAAAAATTTTAGGACCCAATGGCACCTACGGCCTGATGACTTCGACAATTGCAGAACGAGCACCCATGCTCGACCCTTAAGAGATGGGATGGAATCAAGGAAGGCAATCTTGCCAGGATCACCCTGGGTGACCCTAGGAAGCTGGCGCCGAAGAAATATCTGGCGATGACCAGGAAAAATCTACGCTTCACAGTAGGATTTCCCACTGGTCACTGTAAATTAAGGGTACACCTCCAAAATGTGGGGCTAGTGGACACATGCAGGATGTGTGAAGAGAAAGATGAGACTATCAGGCATGTCTTATGCGAATGCCCGGAGTTATCGTCAATAAGAGAGTGTGTGTTCGGCGAGTCTCGGCCTATACCTGCAGATATAAAAGAGATGTCTCCCAATGACCTGTCCACCTTCCTGGAAAGGACAGGATGGACGATGACCTAGGAGGACAACTCTTTGGGAGGATGTACAATGGGTCACATGTGGCCTAATTGCTGTGGGCTTACACTCATCCTCCCTACTTTACAGATACAGAATACAAAAGTCTCTTTTGTCAAATATAGATAATGTGATGATTTTAGATACAAAGAATATTGCTATATAGTTTTACTTACAAAAGCAATATTTTCACTTCTCCGTGAATACTACAGTGAAGTTTTGCATAAAAGATGACCTGACGAAGTCTTTTGATAACACTCGTCGACAATTTTCAATTTTGAACATTCCGATGATGTTTGTTGTATCTCATAGATTAAACAGGTATCTAGTCAAAAAGTTATCCATCGGATGATCATTCAATGCTACATTTTCTTGCTGTGTGCTAATGCTGTGTGCTGATAAAAAATGAGGCATCCTAATTTCGATTAATATCAACATTTTTCACTGGTTTGGGAGAAGAGGTTGCAATGCAACCTCTTCATCATCATCAGATTTGTAGGCCCTTGATTTCATTTTATGTGGCTACGTAAAATAAAAATTAATGGATACGACCAGCCTTTTCAGAAAATTTGTTATAAATGCTGTCGTGAGACAGCCGTGAAACTTCCCAATGTGTAGGATGACATTTTATTGGATTTCGATATCAGAAATACCGAAAAAATGTTCCCCATCACTAAAAAATAGTTATCATGAAAAAAAATCGGTTTATCCCAAAATACTTCTTTCCATTTCACATAATTAACTTGCATTTCATTCAAATTTTCCGTGTTTTTCTACATAATTTTCCTGATATGTT